AGTATGATAGTGCGATAGTACTATCGCTTTGTAGCCATCGCGCTATCGTATTGTCGTCATCGCACTGTCGTATAGTCGTCATCGCAATATCGCACTGTAGCATTGTCGCCCTCTGGATTATACAGTGTTTCACATGATAGAATATGGAAAATAATTTTACTTTTTTCAATGCATGTATATTTCTTTCTTGAAATTTGGAAGAGAATTAATAAGTTCTGAAGTCAGACTGAGATTACAAACTGGTAATGTTCCTTTAGATGATTTTGTTAATCATTATGCCTAGAAATACAGATATAAATGATTTAGAAGTAAATTTAGATTAAACATTTGTAGAAGTTTTAGATACACAAATCACAGTAGATGAATTCTTAAAAGAGATTTCTTCATGCAATACAAATAAAGCTGCATCATCGGATAAGATTGTGGTCGAACTTTTTATTGACGCTAAACATTTCATCATACCGTACTAAGTGACATTATTTAACATTATCCATGGTGCAGGTGTTTATCCTGATTCTAGGACCAATGGGATTATTGTGTTCTTATTGTCAAAAAGGGTTATAAATTCGATCCTAGTAAGGGGTATTACTCTTGTACATAGTATGGCTAAACTTTTTTCCTTTATTTTGAGAAACAGGAAAAAACAAATGGTGCGTTACAGAAGAAATATTTTGTGAAAACATTTCGGTTTCTGAGATAAAAAAGCACAACCGATTGTATATTTTTATTACATTTTATTATCAAAAAAATGTTACATGATAAAAAGAAGTGGTAATGTGCTTTTATAGACTACGAAAAAGTTTTCGATACAGTTAATAGAAGAACATTATTTGTTAATTTGTTAAAAAAAGGCATTAGCAGAAAAATGGTGAATGTGATAAAAAGAATATATGAAAAATTTCTTCATGTGTTAAAATTATTTTTAGAATTTTTCGATACATCTATTGGATTGAAACAAAGAGAGCCACAACGATAATGTTTATAGTCTGCATAAATGATGTATGCAAAACATTGGCCTTAATAGTTTATCAGATTAGGATCTTAAGCTATTATGTGTATTTATGTTGCTTTATGCAGATGACATGGTTGTATTTTCTACCGGTCCTAATACTTTACAGGATCACCTTTACTGTGTATTAATATTCGAATCAATGGAGCTAAAGATCAATACAAAGAAGGTCAAAATTTGTGCTTACGGAAAAGGTAAATCACGAGAGCAAAGATTAATTAACATTAATGATCATGTTATTGATATTGTAGACGGTTTTGCTTACCTAGGATTGACGTTCTTTTCAAATGGTAACATTGCTAAAACAGCTAAGATTCTTTTTGATCAGGCTTTAAATGCAATGTACAATTTGTCAAGTCTTTTAACAAGAATACATGTCGATATTATAAAGAAGCTAAAACTGTTAAATTTCCCTAGTTGCACAAATTTTGCTTTATTCAGCGGAAGTATGGGGAATATATTGTCCTAAAGAAGTTGATTCTAGTAAGATTCATATAAAATTTTGCAAACTCATATTAGGTGTGAAATAGCATTGTTTTAGATGAAGTAGGGAGATTCCCCTTATCAGTTATTTGCCAAGAAACATCTCTAAAATATTACACTAAATTAAAATTAAATTCAGATTCATTTATGTATAAGTTGTTATTTTCAACGGAGTGCAATAGTAATAATGATCAAAATTGGGCTGTCTCTGTAAAAATATGATATAATTCTAATAAAGTTGTAACATATTTTCTTTCTTTGTCAAGGAGATTGAGAGATCAAATTATCCAACACTGGCATACTTCATATTCAAAAAGTTTGCAGAAATTATCTTATGTTCAATTTAAAACTGTATTTGAATCAGATGAATATCAAAATAAAAATGAAAGTGACGAATTAGTGAAATTGTTTTCCTACTTTAGGTCAAACAGTCATAATCTAGCTATAGAAACTGGCTGTTATCGATGTATAGATAGACAGGATAGATTGTGTGAACATTGTACAAATATGTTGTTGAAAGTGAATACCATTTCCTTTTAATATGTACACATTATTCTGAAATTCGCAAGAAATATTATCCAAACACAGCAAGTAGAAAACAATCAACTTTACTGAATGTATCGAAATTTCTAAATGAAGCATTTTCGAAAAGAAATGGAATCAAAATGTAAGCTAATGCGTGTCATATTCTTTGCTTTTTCTCCACATCAGCTTCTAATGATGACAATATATGTCATGTGATACATGTGTGATTTGTATAGATTTTAGTTTGTCAACCTTTGCCAAATGCATTTTGTATGCTGATTAGTGCAATAAAATATTGAAATTGAAATTGTCAAGTACCTGCAGAACATAATTGTGGTCGTGAAATGTGTTAGAAAACTTAAATTTACAACAAAATTCTTCGGGGAAAAAACTATAAATATTATCGTGGTTGTCGAGTTACATAAAAATAAAATGCGTATTTTAGTAATATATTATGGTTTTCAAAGATATGTACTTGCATCTAATACATGAAAAAGAAATTGAGATGTTTTTCATAATTATTCAGTTATTCTGATATTTTAATTTTTCTCTTTGTTAAGTATCGTCTGCATCATATATTTATTAATTATAACAACCTTATTAAATATTCATGTTTTCGTTTATCTGTTCGCACGAAAAGCCGAACACTTAATTTCAATATACATTATGAGGACACATCCTTTTCTCTCACAAACTTCTTTCCTTGTCTATTTCTTCCATAAAATGTTGATAAACATACCAGGTACGGACGTTTAATAATTGTGATTGGTAATGTTTATGATAAAATATTAAAATCATCTTTCATTCATTTTTACTCAGCAAACACACAATTACACATGTTGCTTATACTTTATCAATACAACTATGATAACACATGTACAGATGAATGTATTTATGAATAACGTTAAGGTATAGGAACAAAGAAAACTTCAAATACAAAATAAATGAGACCTAATACAAAATGATAGTATCTTTTTCGAAACCAAAAATGACTGGTCCTTTAAGGATTTTTATTTTACGGTATCGACTAGATATCGTTTTCTCTGATCATATGCTTAATAAATATACATTGCATAATTTATATATGACCATAAGGAATTGAACTAAACTTTGAACGTTAAAGTAATTCATTGTTAAACATTGTTAGACAACACTAGTGATTCATGGGCATGAAGGGTAATGAGTTTAATAATTTTAATTTTCTATAGTTTACATGCGCTTACAGTTAAAGACGTTTGTTTGAAAACATAAAACCGATATACTTTGAATAGAAGAGGATTTTTAAGTATTAAAGTCTCTATTGCAATCGAATAAAAACCAATCGGGACCAATTTCTTATCGTTATGGCCTTGGCTGTAAATTCTCTTATTATTGTGCACGACATGCACTCGTAAGGTTCTTGGGTTTAGCAAGTTCTTGTTTTATTGAGCACTATAAAACAAACGCAAATAAAAATTGAAAACGTGATTAATATGACACGTGTAAGTATGATAAGATTCATCAAGCTTGGCATGAAAAAAAATAAAGGGAAATACAAAAAATAGGAGATTTGCTACAACAAAAATCTTGTGTATTAAAAGGAACTTGTTTTATCGATGGGTCCCTTATTTGCTGTTTATGAACCGTCATCTGTTTCTATGTTTATTCCCCGTTTGATTAATGTAAGACCCACTGCACCCTTTTAATATAAATGCATACAGTATAATTTTATTTGAACAATCCATGCCTTCATTAATATAAAACATTTTATCTTTAATGTTTAATGAATCAGCCCCTATCTTATATCTCACAGACCATATCGGGATAGTTGTACTTTGATACTTTATCTATAGATTGATATTTACTAAATGAATGGACATTATTTCAGCAGGAATAAACGTCATAGTTCATACAGTGCGCATAATTTTTGAAGGTGTTGTTCATGTTACGATTAAACAAACAAAAATAGTGTATTGTGACCACATAGATTGATGATGTCCAGAGGAAACTACCATGACATTATGCGGTAAATCTAAATGCAATTATAGAGAGCGCAAAACATTAAACTATATGGTATATCAAGTATGTAAATGTCTTGCTCGTCTCTCATAGAAGAGGAAACAGTACAGACAATCACAAAATTGAGATTGAGCTTCTCGTTAACATAGCGAACAATTTTATTTCGATGTCATTGACCGATTTGTGGATTTAAAGTAATTTTATTAAAGAATCATCTTTTTTAAAACGTACAATCATTCCTAACTCTGGCACGGGTTCGATCCCCTGGAGATGCTCTGGTAGTTTAGCGCGGAGGAAGGTAGTCTAGTACTGGTGTAACTCTCCAGGAACGATGGTTAGGAAACTACCCGCCTATAGTATATGACTGAAATACTGTTGGGAAAAGGCGTAGAATCAAACAAAGAAACAAAACAAAACTTGTCCTCAGTCCTACTGTTTCCTTTTTTCTACATTAACCTGCTACTAATTGTATTTTTTTCACAACAAAAACAATTTAAAAGAAATAATAAAAAGAAGAAGAAGGAGAAAATAACAGTTGTGTGTGTAAGCCTTCAAATGCAAGCTCTCAGATGGTGTCTTTTGTACAGTAACTTTACAAAACATATCGAGAGCTATCCTCAGTGTCAATCCGGTGTTGGTGTCTAGTCCAAGGCATTGTCCTCCAGATGGTATTTTGATACCAGTTTCCGATATAAAATATATAAAATAAAATCTTACAGGGATACTTGAGATTTGACTAGTAAAAAACAAAATCTAAACAAAAATATCATGTAACTATGATTCTTGATTAATTTGCTGCTAAACTGGAGATCAGTTAAAGTTATTTTAATCATTTGAAAGATTTTAAAGTTATACAAGTTTGTATATTATGTAGACAGAACGCAATTTTGTTGTTACCTTAACATGTTATCAAAAATAATATCTTAATGCAACGTTGATTATCTATTTGACAACCATTTAAAAGCAATTTTCTTTTTTCTTCTTACTTAAATTTGTATAAATATTAAAGAAATTTAAGTAGCAAGAACATTTGCTTACGTAATTTTGAGGAAAATTAAGCTAAACTTTTGTAGATCTGCAATGGAAGTTTCAGTACAATTTATATTTCTAATGTTCTTCATGAATAGTTGGAATTTCAACAAAGGTACCAATTAATGATATTTGCAAGACATAATAAATAAATAAATGTAACTAATCAATGTGGATCTTATTCAATTAAAAATAGAACCATTTTAATAAAATATGTACAATTTAATAACAGATTTAAAAGAAGTAAAGGAAATGCACATTTTATTTTAGTCTTGTTGTTTCATAAAAAAGTATTGAAAGCGATATACTGTGAAATTATTAATTTGGTAATTCCACTGTTTTGAATTTAATAAGCCCCTTACGTTGTTTCTGTGAAATAACTGGAAACCAACTTAATGTCGTGACGTCGTAAATGACGTCACGTTTTATTATTAATTTGCGCGCTTTTCAGTTAGTTATATGTTAAAATTTCTTTTTAAACTTTTCTTTGCATATAATAAAAACAACATTTGTTTAGTTTAGTGTAAGATCGATTATATGTATCCTCGTGAACACCAAAAGTTCATATTTCACGAGTGGTGCAATATACCTTTTGGTCCTCACTCGATGAAATATATTCCGATCTTACACTGAACTAAACAAATATCCTCTATATAATCATTTAATCATTTTAGGTGCATAATTGATGATTTCAACTATTGAGACAATTAAAGTGACATTATCATCATTGTTACATTAATAAGTTGGGCTGAATTCACTATATATTTAGAAAATATTACTGTTGAAATAATGGTTGACCAACAATTGCTATTGGATGATCATGATAAAATATAAATCTACCCATTATAAAAGGACAACCACACTCTTTTTATAACCTGAACGTTAAAGTTAAATCCCGATGGACATTTACAGAAATTTCATTAGGCCACCTGGGTTATATATCGGTTATGCAGGTAAATTATTAAATTGAAGAAAATTATATCAAAATGAAAACTTTTGTCCTGTTTTCTGATGTTGCGACTTATTTTGAAATCTATCATGTGTTCGTTTATTTGCGATATTATTTAGACATTACTTATTTTATGAATAAATTTTCATTTTATATTCATTTTAGTAGAATATTTGTATCTAGTAATCTTTTGATATAGAAAGTTTGACACTCACAATCCAGTTATTTAAATGGTAAGTTATTTATAAATGTTAAACAGTTACGCTGTTTGGAAATTAAACACGTAATGTCTGCATGTCATTTATTTATATTATTTAAATTAAATGTTCAGCTAATATTCCTAGACCAGTAAAATGTTAAGCAAAGCTACATTTAATTTCAATAGCAATTATTCAAGCGCTTTGAGTAAGTTTTTATCACTGCGCTCCTATTTTAGTCAACACGTAAATATGGTAAAATGATATTTTTATAATGGTATATAAATTTATTAACACGAACCAAGTACCACATGTTTAACACAAACGGCCTCTTTACCCTTGACACTTGAAAAACAAAAAGGGACTGACCAATACAGAAAAGCAATAGAAAATTTGTGGAAATAAAGGGCAGCGCCAGGGCGGGAGTCGCTCCAGTAGGTAACGGAACTTCCTTTGTTTGAAATACATGCCACTGAAGAAGAGCCGAGAGGGTTATGGTGAACTAACATTAGCGTTTTTCAAATTATATACTAGACAAAAAAAATCCCTTTTTATAATAACTGAATATAATACGGATTGAAAGTAGTTCAACTACGTGGTTTCAGACAGAGAGTGTAATCTTCAATAATGTAAAACGAATATATTTATTTGAAATCCAAAGGAAAATAAAGTCTGTTTCGGTACAATAATGATTGAAAATATGTCTAACAATCATTTCTAATTAAATATACCCACTGATGTACAATAGTGTCAACATGTTGACATTTTGTACTTTCGATTTCTTCATAATAATAAATATATAAATAATTATTGTTTGCTTTGTATCAATGAATTCACTAATTTTAGTCGGACTTATACTTGATATATTGGAAATAAGATTATCATTAAAATACCATTTGTTTTTTTGTTTAGTTTCTTAGCGTATCATTTCTGTGTAAACATACTATTGTTTTCAAGGTCCTTTTCCCGAGACTTACTGAAAAGGACGAAGAGTAGCGATTGATAATTTGCACAAATATATTTCTTTTTTATTAATGTTAATCTGGATGCAAAAATTCTTATACATGTATACAAAAGTTTTATTACATCCAACTTTAATTTCTTTCCTTTAGTTTGGCATTTTTGTAGCAAGGACCATACAATCAAAATGGAAAAACTTCAACATAGTGCTCTGAAAATTGTTTTTAATGACTATTCATCAACTTATGAAGATCTGTTTAAACTGACCAATATGTCATCACTCCATATCAGTAGAATTAAACAACTCGCTATTGAAGTCTTTAAATGTCTTTACAGCATTTCACCTAAATATGTTCAAGAACTTGTTAATGTGCGTTCATCAAATTATAGTTTTAGATAACAAAATACATTAGATGTACCTAAAGTACACACAACCAAGTATGATAAAAAGAGTTTTCGTTTTGAAGCATCTAAAATCTGGAATACGGTTTACCTAATGAACTTAGATGTACTTCTGATTTCAATGAGTTCAAACGACTAATTGCAACATGGAGTAATGACAAGTTTGCCTGCTCTATGTGCATCTAATCTTTTCCAGTTTCCATGTTCTATTTCACTGAATTCCTGGTTGTTTTTGTTTCTTGTAAATAATGTTAGTTATCTTTTTCCTTTAATTATGTACTATTTATATGTATATATGTAAACACTGTTATCCTAACTTCTTTAGACATGATTGATTTTCATTGTAAATGCTCCGATTGATTTCATTACAACGACAGTATGAATTAATTCTATGTATTATTTTCTTAAAAAGTGTTTATTTTGTTTCTTCTTCTTCTTATCACTATTATTTTTATCGTTTGTTCATGTCGGATACAAGCTTATGTTTTGTACTGTTAACCATAACAGACTATAAATAAAGTTTGTCTTACTGTCTTACTATTGTATGTGTCAGCTGACCTGAAAATAATACAGTTTTCTGGATTTTCACTAATGATGACAGTATTTTTTTTTATCGGCCCACTAAACTTTGGCAGTTTATAACCGTGACGTACATTTTACATAGCGAGCATAAAACGGACTGACTGCAATGTGTTTTTTCTACATTGATGTTTGAACAGTTGGTTTTTTCTCTGCGTAACTTTCATACACAATACTTTTTCATATATCCCACCACTATAATTATCAGTCAGATGGAGAATACACGGTAGAGGATTTATCTGGCGAGCTTAAGCGAGCCAAGATTGACTATCGCAGCGAACTAGATAAACCTTTTCAACCCGACAACAACCATATATTCGAACTATATTGCTTTTTTCTGGTTTAATCATGTATTTTTCATATTATTTAAATGGCTACATTCTTACTTTCTCCCAACATATAGGTCTAACAGCATTTTTTTTTATTTGCTGCTAAGCATGTAGCACGTAATGACTGGAGATAAATAAGTTTATCTATGTATCTGTCGATTTTGAACTAATACGTAAAAACCTTCAAAATACCTGAAATATATAAAAATATACCATAGTAAGTAGGAAATATTGTGTTATCATAAAATTATAAAGAGTGCATTTTTTGCACTTCGTTGATTTCCTAATGGGGCGGCCCATGTATATTTATGTACATGTAATATATGAAAAAGCTCAATCAAACTGAGCATGCAAACTTTTTTAATTTGGACATTCTTTGGGCATTCTGTTTTTTGTTGTTTTTTCTCTCTATTTTAGCTTATGTTCCATCGGGTTACCTTGGATGCTACATAGATAAGATTGCCCGCATTTTATCTCACAGAATGCCAAATTCAGCACACAACTCGGGCGACCAGTGCAAGAAACAATGCAAGGCCGCTGGGTACAGATATGCTGGAACAGAGGTTATTTTCAGTTTCAGATTATTTCAAGTTATATACAATCAAACAATAGAGTGATAAATTGCAAATACATTTGAAGCTGAAGTAGTGGATTGAATTGTAAAATGATTATACAGTATAAATCCCTCCCTTTCTTGTATTCATTGCATGTAATAAATACTAAGCGATTGATATTACTTCATCTGTAGTTGTTGATGACATGAGGAATAATGATATTCATCCTCAATAACATAAATATTTATCTTAATGAAAGCAATATCGTAATTCTCTATCTATTCAAATTTGTCTACCGTTTTTTCTTTTTCTACCATAAGAATTTGACATGAACAGCAAAAATTGGAAATAAATCTTCTATACTTATATGCTAAATCTATTTACAGAAAAATAAATATTTGTTCATGTGCCATTGAGATCATTTTTAATGAACATTATTTGTTGCATTATATCAAACATACATTGAAGTGATAATTTGTTTTCTTTATAAACACTTGAAACAGTCTTTATTTTTGGTATGTGATAAATAGAATATTATTTTCGTTGACTCGCATAATATATTTCATTCATCTCGTTCAATAAATTCGATAATTTTGTCGACACTTCAGTTTACGTACGAATGTTTCTGTGGAAACTTCATAAAAGAATACCCGAAAGGTTCAAAGTGTACAGCGAAATGTCCTGGAAATAAGGACGAGGTATGTGGAGGGACGTGGCACATTTCATTATACGATACAAAGGCAAACGACGATTCAAAAGGTAAGCATGCTATAATTTAATTGTTATATTAACTTTATTAAATAACAGGAACTTGTAATGGAAGCATAGTCAGTTATTAAATTAGCCCATTTGAATTGCATGCATCTTGACAAAAATATTTGTCATTATAAAGAAGAATGTAATCATCAATAAATAAATAAAAAAGTATGCGAAAATATCTAGAATGAAATTTGGTAACAGCAGTGAAAGAAAAATCATATTGAATAATATGCACATAAGAACCATGTAACGTTCACAAAACGTAAATAAATTCCTTGCGGTATAACTTTCTTGTCTGTTCTTTTATATCACAATCAGTTTATGTACCATCGGGCTACCTCGGATGCTATATAGATAAGACTGTCCGCATTTTGTCTCACCGAATGCCTAATTTCGCAAAAAACACTGGCGATCACTGCAAACAACAATGCAAGGCTGCCGGATACAGATATGCTGGAACAGAGGTAGATACGTATGAAATGATTTATAGGAAATTGTAGACATATGAAATTACCCACATCATATCGTGAGTAAAACAATTATTCACTTTTCCATAGTTATAATTTTACTAGAAAGAAACCAAAACAAGAGAATATGATTTAGGCACTGTATTTGACAACTTTCAACAAATAAATGCATGTAGTTTAGATCGTGTTAAAATCTCTTCAGGTATACAACAGTTCCATTGGTTCCTGTAGATAGTATCTTCTATAGCTGACTACAGAAAGCCATATGCATATTCGTCCAACGATAATCCTGAAAAATACTGAACTACAATGTATATTTATAATGATTAATGAAAACATAACTATTAATAACGATACTTTGTTCTCGACAAAAAAGAAAACGGCTAAATAACATCCTTTCTTAGAAACTGAGGGCAGGAAGAGGGAATAACTATAACTCTAAAGAACATGTTAAAAGCTGTCACATACTGCCTCGTGTGGGAATAGATAGATAGATAGATAGATAGATAGATAGATAGATAGATAGATAGATAGATAGATAGATGGATGGATGGATGGATGGATGGATGGACGGACGGACGGACGGACGGACGGACGGACAGACAGACAGACAGATAGATCCACGCAATAATTTTACTCTTGAGACCCTTAGGAAAACTATTTAAATGCCAAAACTCCTCTGTAATATTAATTGTATCATAGTTTGGGGACCTTTCTATTGAAAATGTGTCAAAGTTGAATCGTATACATATACATGCACAATGCGTTAACTGAGAGAAGCAGGTATTCCCGCACTCCAGAGCATACCCACTGATTGGCTCATTTTTGCTGGGGTTTACTTATTGTGACGACAGAGAAAGGGAAAGCGATACAAATATCATATTCAGATGCTCGTTCATTGGTTACTTTTTTCTGGGGTTTCATATTGTGACAACAGGGAACGTGTTTTTATGTTTGACTATGATACAAAAAAGAAAGAACATCAAACACTCGGCAATCTGATTTATACTCGGGGGCCACGCCCCCTCGTGCAAATCAGATAGCCTCGTGTTGCGATGCTCTTTCTATTACTTATCATGTCGACATTTTGTTACATCTTCTGGGGAAAATCCAGAATTTGCGCTTGTTGTTAATCAAATATTAAGAAATAGTATTTCTAAAACTTCCGCTTATTCTTCAGTATACTGTGGAATGTTTCTGTGGGAACAATATAAAAGATTATCCAAAAGGATCAGGGTGTACAGCTAAATGTCCTGGAAATAAGTACGAGGTATGTGGAGGGACGTGGCACATTTCCTTATACGATACGCAGGAAAACGACGAGTCTGAAGACTTGGAGTCCTCAGAAGGTGAGTATACTATAATTTAGATGTCAGCACAAAGGTATATTCTCAATGTCATCAGCTTCAATCTATTAGATTATTGTTTGATTCTACTGATTTAATAATTTCGAGCTTTAAATGCAGTGCAGAATAATATTCTTTCATTATGTAGTGTCTATCACAAATGTTCTACAGCAAAGCTTCATAGACTGAATGATGTGTTAACAAATTATTTTCTTAACATATGTTTGTAATCAAGTTTAAATAAATGAAAGTAATTCGTGTCAGTGCATGTGTGTGTGCGTGCGCACGTGTGCGTTCTTAAATGCGTGCGAACGTGCGTCTGTGAATGCATGCGTACTAACGTGTGCGTGTGTATGTGCGCGCTCGTGCGGGCATGCGTGTGTGTGCGTGTGTGTGTGACATGAACTCAAGTTAAATCACACCGTTTTTAAGGGAAAAAACAAAGTAATTTCTTTGCGTGAATAACACATTTTCACTTTCTTTCACAGATTTGAAATACTGCGATATATACGATGTCTGTCCTCCAAAATGGAAATGCAGAAATAAGAAAAAAGGCTTTTTATGTCGGGCGCCATAATCAGAAGTCAGAAGCAGCAAGTAAAAATACTGGAAGCTTAATACGAAAATCGCAATATTCGGATGTTCTTATGATAAATATGTAACACAATACGTATGACTATAATAAGAACAAAACAGTCTTTATTATAAGAACAGTTTTTAATATTCCTCTTTATTTTCTAACTACATTTTATTGTTCAATTTCTGCAATATGTGTGTAAGAGACGCGCTTAGTATAAAAATAAACGATTTTGTCGGATAACATGTGTACCTGTTTGTTTGTTTCATTTTACGCCTTTTCCCAACAGTATTTCATTCAGTTATATAGGAGGGTAATTTCCTAACCATCGTTTCTGGAGACATATTTATCTTCTTACATGTCTTTTAAAGATAACATAGTTAAAGATAAGACACGTAAGAAGATAAATATGTGATTTATATAAAAATAAACAGTAACTCCTTGATAAAGAGGGGTTTAACCCCTCGAAACGTTGGAGATAGAAAAGTTTGTGTAGTAGATAATTATATTAAAAAAATGGGGGTGAATGATCTCTTGTTTTTTATTATCATCCCTTGAATAAGAATCTATTTGTCAGTTTTATGTAATTTCAAGGGCAAGTAACTTGCAATTAAACTAAGCATTACCTTATTCCAATGATTTAATATGTAGCTGACCTCCTCTTCAGTCATTGTGCAAAAGCTCAAGATAAGTATCGAACATTTTGAATATTCTTACCAACAGTTATGTTATTTTACATCAAATGAAACACTTTATTACTCATAGATTTATGGGCAATGAAATTTGTTTTGTGAAAAAGAAATACGTAATCCAAAACTTCTTTAACAAGAATTTGTAACAGAGTTACCAACGTCCCCTGCCTCTGAGAAGTTTTATATGAAGCATAAAATTGTGCTATTTCAAAAGATTGAGGTATGCATTTCAGGACTTTCAGTCCAAAATTATGATCAATGCTAGATCTGCAAATGCAACAATAAATTTATTAAAGAAAAACTAGTAAAATGAAATACGGAATTTAAAATCATGTAAACCTTTGACCTCTAAGTGTGACCTTGACCTTGGGGGTAGGGGTGCAGGTGTTTTGCATGACATATCGCCTAATTAATATATCTATTTGCGTCAAGTATTTTCAAAATCCCTTAAACTATGTAGAAGTTATAGATCGGACACAAACGATACCCTTTAACAGACTATGTCCATCTTTGACCTCTAAGTGTGACGTTGGAAATATGGACCCATGTTCTGCGCCTGTCATATCATCTTATTATTGTGATTATTTGTGCAAAGTATTACTAAAATCTCAGGTTATGGACTGGCCTATAACAGACTATGTAAATCTTTGACATCTACGTGTGACCTTGACCTTGAAGGTAGGGACATATGTGTTACGCATGACATATCAGCTTATCATTGTGACTTTTTGTGCCTAGTTATTTCAAAATCCTGAAGAAGTTCTAGATCAGACACAAAATATACCCTTACACAGACTATGTTTACTTTGATCTCTAAGCGTGACCTTGAACTTGGAGGTAGGGATGTAGGTGTTACGCAAGACACATTGTCTTATTATAGTGACTATTTGTGGCAAGTATTTACAAAATCCTTTGATCTATGAAAAAGTTATAGACTGGATACAAAATATGCCCTGTAAAAGACTATGTTTATCTTTGACCTCCAAGTGTGACCTTGACTTTGGAGGTAAGTTACCGGTTGTTGCGCATGACACATTGTCTCATTATTGTGAACAATTGTTGCAAGTATTTACAGAATCCCTTTTAAGATAAGAAAGTAAATGACCGGACACCACATATACCACGAAATAGACAATGTTGGCCTTGAATGAGTAAGTGCGACATCTGCGAATGTTTCTAAATTCAAAATTTTACTATTTCCTATTTAAATGTTGAATTCTGCTTAAGCCGGTGCTAGGGGGCGTGGACGGTAACTTGCACTTTCCAATACCGTCCATGAACAGGCTCAATCTAATCGAGCCTGCAACATTTTCAATTTTGCCGTGTTGGGCTTTCTTTAGGGATTCTGTGTTTATCAATTTGACTCTAGAGGTAGGGATCTGGTTGATGAGCATGACACATCGTTTTATTTTAACAAACATTTGCGCCAAGTTATTTGAGATTCCTTTGATAAACAACAAAGTTTTGGACCGGACACAAAAGTGTGACGGACAGACGGGCGGACAGACCTATTTCTATATCCTCCTTTTTTCTTCGAAAAGGCTGGGGGACAAGTTTATGTATTGAGTAAAAAATGATCAGTATTTTTGAAGAAAAAAAAAGACATTCTGGATACTAGTGAGTAAATTGCAGAATGTTTTGTTTATTTGGATTTTTACGGCACGTCAACACATAACTGGCCATATCGTGCCAAATGCTATAATAGACTTAAATATTATGTAAACATTTGTAAATGACAATAGACATGAGCCAATTAGATCCTAGAATACAAGTTTATCTCTTTCAAATAATCAATTATGTTTTTGATGGAATTGTATTAAAGAGTTCTTTGAGTGAATTTACAGAATAAAATCAACCACGGGTCTGTGAAAAATCATGACACTCAAGAAGAAAAATGCTTGACAGTAAAATTTTCATTACAACCTACACAGAAAAGGGCATTGTCATTTGTGAGGAGATAAGAGTGATAATGTCCAATTCGGCATCGGAGAAGAACTGTTTGATCACGGCGGTTAGACAGAGATAAAGATGGTGACACATCAAGAGATGGGTTTATATCGTGAAGTTTATTAAAAACGGCATTGTCCCAATTTGCTTTCCATTCAGGTGATACGAGTTTATCTATAGCCGGTCTAAAATCACAAGCAGGTAACAATAAGTCAGTTTTTTGAAAATTTAATGATTGTTTAGCTAAAGAATCTACTTTTTCATTTCCTCTCATACCTACATGACTTTGAATCCAATATAATTTAACATATTTTGTTTTTAGTATATCATGAAATCGTAAAAGAAGTTTCTTTATCATGATATTGTCAGATTTTTTATTTTTAATGGATATTAAAACCGAAAGCGAGTCAGAAAATATCACAAATTAATCGTGGGTATGCTGTGCTCTGTATGACATTGCTAAATCGATAGCTTTTGCTTCAGCAGTAAAACTTGATGCATTATCTGGAAACCTCATAGTAGATGTAAAATTATTTTCAAACAAAGCCGAACTACTTTGCAACCTTCTTTTGAACCGTCCGTATAAATACAGTCGAGACTGCCCTAGCGACCCCCTGATTTCAACGACTCCCTGTCTTATCCGACCTTGTTTCAGTCCTCCCAACGTATTTTCCTATATAAATGGTCTGAATTATACGACTCCCTGTCATATGTGACAAGCGACCCTAATTATCTTGTCCCAATGCATTGCTTTGTCTGATTTGAACGACTTTCACACCTTTTAATTGTCCGTTAATCAGATAAATAATACCTGTTTTAACACCCAGAGAGACAAAATTATTAAGTCCAATTATAATCCAGTAGTCAGTACTCTTCAAAAAAATCTACACACCTCTGATTACATGTATATATGCAGGTGTCAAGTGATGTAGCGTCTGGAGTGTCCGTAGCGTCTGATGCAATCGATGTGTGTTAACAAATTGAGGTCGCAGGTGTAATGAACTTAATGAACTGTCAGTAAACTGGATTAAGACTTGTGTTTAAAAAAATATGGAGTGTCAACGGAAGATTTTTTTAGGCAGAATTTTTTTTTTTATTTTACCTTTCTATGACTACATGGATAATACGGAAAAATGTTGATACCGGACTAATATGGATATGATTTTAAAAGTATGATATTTATTTTAAGGATTTGAATGCATCAAATTCAAGTTTATTTTTTATACCAAAATGATTCAGTATTAAACTAATACAAAAAATAAAATAAAATTTTATATGATATACATACTATTATATATACTTTACAGGGATTCTTATTTTATTTACATCAAATATTTAAAGTATCTATGTGTATTTGCAATTGGTTAGATATTATTCCTTCACACAGTTATACAGTATATATGTTAAGTCCCAATGATATATAGACAGAAATATGGTATTTAAATTTCAATTTTCTTTGAGACTGTATTAAGAGACTCCCTGTCATATGTGACCTTTTTCTCAGGATCCCTTGGAAAGTCACATATGACAGTCTCGACTGTATGTATAAAATCTTCATGTTCTTCCTTTATTGCTAGAAACTTCTCTTTGAAATATTCAGGTGAATTTGATGACTTTTTTATATTTGAAAGGTTAATATTTATGTTCGGGATATTATAAGTCCAATGTGGAACATCCTCATCGTCATTTTGAACGATACTTTCTGGGTTAATTTTAAGTTTATCTAAATCATCTTTAAACGAAGGCCTTATGGTTTAATTTCCTTTGGTTTGTTAACAAATTTTTCAGTATAACTTTGGCTTGAAAAAAAATGTTTTTAGCTGGATTTTTGATATAAGATGAAATTCTAGTTGCATATTGAAGTGATAGCTTTTTTCGACGAAAATGAATCGATGGTTCCCCAGCTTCTGCATATAGACTTTCTACAGGTGAAGTGCGAAAAAGCACCTAAAGCTAAACGTAAGCCCTGATGATGTATGGTATCTAGCATTTGACGATATGATTTTCTTGCAGACCCATATATTACAGAACCATAATCTAATTTTGATCGGATAAGACTTCTTTATAATTTCAGTAATGTTGAAGAATTTGATCCCCAATTCGTACTTGATAAAACCTTAAGTAAATTTAAAGCTTTTAGGCATTTAGCTTTCAAGTGTTTAATATGTGGTTTAAAAGAAAGTTTTGTATCAAATATAATTTCTAAAAACTTAGCTTCATCAACTACTGGAATTTTAGAACCAGATATGTAAAGTTCAGGGTTATTATGTTGTTTCCGCAATCGACAAAAATGAACACATTGGGTTTTTGACTTTAAAAATTAAAAACCATTTTCTATTGCCCACTTTTAAATTTTATTTTAATTTTGTTGAAGTTGCCGTTCAATTGTTCTCATACTTTTCGATCGATAGCAGATAAAGAAATCGTCCACATTTAGAGAACAGTCTATGCCTGGTGTAAGAGCGCTAGCAATATAGTTTACTTTAAGGCCAAAAAGTGTAACAGAAAGCATGCTCCCTTGAGGAATACCTTGTTCTTGTTGGTGGTCCTGAGAAAATAGTTGAACCAAGTCTACTTCACTTCAGTGTTGTTATATTTTCTGGTCCTTCGGG